AATGCCGAGTATACTTTACAAGTGATAATTACATTAACAAACATTTATGTATAAATTACAAACGAAAATATGTATTTCCGACTTAACAAACATGTAATATATTAAATTTCAAAACGAAATAAATGAAATATAATTCAGAAAATTTGATAAACAAACAGTGCGTATTACTAGTTCGCTTTTTACTGAAAAGAAACTACGGCTGGTTTCATTTTTATTCGAATTGCTTAAGTAATTTTAGTAATAATTTAATAATATTTTTCGAAACCAACCATTAATTTTTGTTATATAATCGTAATCATTGTTTGCAACAGCATGATATTTTTCAATCATTGTTTGAGCCGATGGTACTTTTCATTTTATACATTACGCATTATTTAATTTTTAATTAGTTTTAACATCCATTAATTATTTTATTGCACAAATAAGATCCCTGATTAAATAAAATACAAGTATTCATATTTCTTTAAAAGTCGAAATCTGTCTATTATTAAAATTATAATATTATAAAGCAAACTTAAGTATTGACTACTATGGAAATTATTTTATATATTATTATATTGAGTAAATCGTTCTTATTTACAAATGTGTATTTTTTATTCTAATGAAAATTTAGTTGATTGTATTATTTAAATATTAAATGTAATACTGAAAATCAAAGCATCGATAGTAAATATTTTTTTAATTACAATAGTAAAGTTGTTAATAAAATTCTAAAAATTGATTTTCCGGATCAAAATTCATATTCTTAATTTTTATACATATTTATTATTTATAATATAAAAAAATTTATTCGATATGTTCATGTGCCATCAATAATATAACTATTTGAGAATTAGTGAAAATAGTAATGTTTTACCTGTACACTATACTCTTCTTATCTTACTACTACTACTACTACTGCTACTCCTACTGCTACTCACTCCCAATACTACATTCCCAATACTACATACTAGTAGTATTTTCTATTATTATTATTAGTATGCATAACAACTACACAACACCAACAAATAATAATAATAATAATAATAATAATAATAATAATAATAATAATAATAATAATAATAATAATAATAATAATAATAATAACAACAACAACAACAACAACAACAACAACAATAATAATGTATCCATCGACGATTGATGATAGTTTTTGAAATTACTGTTGCGCATAATTTTCAAGTTGTTATACAGAAAGAGCATCGTCGATTATCTTAAAGCAACTCAAATTATACGATGTAAATGGTGTAGTAGTTAAGTTACAAAAATATGGTAAATTATTAAGAAATAATAATAAAATGAAAAAAATTTCGTGAAGTATCATTCATTCTGTGAACTTAAATTTATTTTATTTATTAAAAGTAATAAACGACGATTTCATTCTCCATTATGAATTAGGATATATTTTGAGTTTAAAATTACGTCTGCTTTCATGTAATTTTCTAATTATGAGTTTAAAAAACACACGAATATATTTCGTATTTCGTACAGCATTTTATAACATTGAAATTATTTTGTTATGGCGGTTTCTGTTTCTGATGCTATTTTAACGTTTAACATTTGAAACCATTTAAACAATCATTATCGGGCGATTAATCGAAAAAATTGCAGTTAACTGTATGATCACGCGGTTGGTTCAGCTGAGTAACGGTCTCGGTTGTAAAAGGATACGAACTTAATTCAATAATATTAACATGGAATGGACAAAACTTGGGGCTAAGAATTGCCTGTTGCGACATGCTCACCTCGACTCCGTGATTCTCCTTTTATCCTTGAAACTTTATAATGCCGAAGCGCGTGCGTTGTAAGCCATTGGCGCGCGCTCTCTCTCTCTCTCTCTCTCTCTCTCTCTCTCTCTCTCTCCTGCTTAGTGTGTGCTCGTCTATCGCGAGCATCTATACAAAGCTTACACGTGTCAAGTGGGGCAGCAGCAAGCGTGGTTGAAGGGCGTAAAGGAGGGAGTTTCATAGAGTAAGAGAGAGGGGGGGGGGTTTAATAATATTTCAATTACGATGGCAAATATTTACAAGGCAGCAATCTCTCAAATGAGAAATCCTTATTTACAGTAGCGTAGGAAATCATAGCCTGTCGTTGTGAAAAATAAAATATAATTTGTTAGGAAAAGCGAACGACATTCTGTATACACCCATACCACTTGCAACTAATTAGTGTGCCAAGGAGATGACGAGTCGCCGGGCCGATAGATCGACGGTCGGGCCACCCTGGCCCGAGTCAAAAGCGCACATAGCTCGAGCACCCGCGCCTATGAATATGCATCTGGCGTTGCGCGACGTGGCGACGGAGGCATGATTGCAGGGGTATCCGGGACCTCGGCAGCAGCTCCGCCAGTGCCACGTCGACCGGCTCAACGTGAAAGTGCGCCCGCGGAAAGAGAGGAACGAAAGTCCGCGCTCGCTTCGGCCGCTTTTAATGCCGGCGGCATTACGGTAGCCCGGGTCGCGGCTGCCTCGAGCTTTCCTGCGGCATTTTAACGGCCGAAGCGAGAATCTAATGTGGCCTTTCCATTGGCAGAGCAACTCCTCCTCCTACGAGGCCGCTCACGGATATTTGCGTACGTCGGTGCGTCGCCTGTTAAGCGCCGTTCCTTTATCGTTATAAAGTGGGATTTCTCTTTCTCGAGACAATTGCGCTTCCGGGAAGACTTTCACTATCGGCTCTCTAGTTTGTTCTTCTTTTTTCTGTTTTTGTTAATTTTTTTCCCTTCCTTTTTCTTCGTCCGGATTTTAAACTCTGCACGCCATCTCTTTTCTAAGACTGTTTTTATTGGCTCCGCGATCCGCGAGCAGATTTACCGCTCTAGCTTCGTCGTTCCGTTTTCTACTTTCTTATTCTTTATTATAGAGAACACCTCGTTACTAATATAGACGATGTTTTCTCTCTCTCTCTCTCTCTCTCTCTCTCACTCTATATATATACATATATATATATATATATATGAAACTATGCATCGATAACGAGTTGATAAAAAGTAAATTTGAGTGTTTGGAGAGGTGAATACTCATTCGGTATTTAAATGTACAGTAGACGCGAGATTTAAACGTCGATCAATAATAGTTTAATGTCAATGACAAGTCAACTATGATAAACTTAGCGTCGTATTGTTCTTGGTTTAGTCCCTTAAATTCATACGCTTATGTGAACACGCATTTGTACAACACAATAATATTGAAAATAACAACAAAGATGCGCTTGGGAATTTTAAAGACACTGGACTATTCGAAGGAACTTTTCGAAGCTGTTTAAAGTGCCATGAATGGAATGATAGTTAACGATTATCGTGTTTTTGAAATAAAGTTGAGCTGTTGTCGCTGAAAATCGATATCTGCCAAATTTGTAATTTTATAAATATTTCTGCTTAGTCGAGACGTATGCATTTTAATGGCATTTATTTTAAATAGATACAAAATTTTCATAATGTAACAAATAATATACAGCATATACAAGTTTTTTTTTTTTTTTTTTTATCATATTTTACGTTTATTCAAGGCTATTATCCTCTTTTTACAGAACGTATGATTTCAGTGGGATATATTTCTTTTGTAATAATACTCTATAATAATGCATAAATATAAGGTAGAGGGACTTTTAATGCCCTTTATTTATTTATAAGTCTATAATAATGATTTATAATAATTTAATATTGCACGAGAAAGTAAGGATTTGTTTGGTTATTTTTGTGGGTAAGTACTTTCTTTCGGTTTCTTACACCTTACTTTGAGAATCCTCTCGTCACAAACTGAAAAACATATTATCGAGGCCTTCACGTCCAGACCGCGACGTCATTACTTTATATGGGCCGGCAGAATTGTAGTATATTCGATGAAATTTAGAATTTTTTTTTATCTATTTTCAAAATGAATCTTCTTTCAATATTATGAGGGTACGTCTTATAAAATTATTTTTATCATTAATAATTTAGTAGAATTAATTAGCTTTGGTATCGATAAAACTATTCATATTTTTAATTGATATTATTTTAATTAACTCTTGTATTTATTTGAATTGAACTTGTATATAAAATAATGGTAATGCTTATTGTATGTGCGTATTGTAATTATGGCGGTAGGTGCTTACACATCACTTACTTATTTCTGTTTAATAAGCAAAGCTATCTTGGGGAAAAAGAAGAAAAATAGTTTTGAAGTTCTTAAACTTGTTTAAAAATATTTAAATATTAAGTAAGATATATTATTATAATATCGAAGGTGATTTGTTAAAAATTGAAAAGGATAACGTCATTGTACAAAAGCAAGGTTTTCTTAAGTAATACAATTGATAATGTTATTTTAAAATTTACGGTCTACACGACTATGGTCAATATTTATGCATAATTCAAGAAATATGAAAAAGATATATGAAAAAGCATGGGTTTTTGTGCCGTCGCGTTACCTAATGAATTCGAATGGCAATTGATTTGAGTAATCAATAGAGAATATAATTTAATTCTATAAGGTGTTTTGAAGAAAAAAAAGTGTTGTTATTCAAATATTCTTATTCTTATAATATAACCTTCGAGCGACTCTATTCTATTTCGTTCGACTTTATTATTACGAAGTTTTTAATTTTTTTTTCATTTTATTTTTTCTATTAGTCTTAAATGATTTATGCTTGACTATTTAAAATTTATGAGACTCCTAATAATACCAATGTAAGACACGGTAAAAAGTTTCAACGCAACGCTAATTATCCTTTAATTACAGGGGGGAGGGGGGAAGAAGAAGAAATTTATCTAAAATAATCATGCGTGGTTTGCAATTTCGCAACCAGTCTACGTCTTATAAATCAAGAATACAAATAACGTTCCTCGCGATATCCTGTAACTGGATTCGAAATTTATTACAAGAGTATACATTATATCGGTGTTGTAGTTTTTTTTTTTTTTTTTTTTTTTTTTTTTTTTTTTTGTTCATCTTTTTTCAACAAACGCGCTTCGCCACGCATTGTGTTTGATGAGCTTATCAAAATTACAATCTCAATTGCAGGTTATGGGAAGGCAGCAGTACATTGTGAAGCCGATGGTCATGGAGGAGGAAAGCAACGGTAGCAACGGAAGTGATAATCCAGCTGTTGCCGGAAGTAGCGGCATTGTGAACGAAGTTGCCCTATCGCATGCACCAGCCTTGACCGAGCAGACCCTCCGCGAACACGGAATTCCTCTTCATCAGGCCATCCAACAGGTGATGTATTTATTATATTTTGTTATTAGCAATCTAATAATCAATTATCTTACTTCCGCTATAAATCTGCTACAATTTAAATGCACGCCCGCATTGCATCATATTCTAATGTTTTCACAAGATATCCTGGAGGTTACGATATTGCCCGTACTTAGATATCAAATAAGTTCTCAATCGAGAACAAATACCGTGTTTTTTTTTTTTTTTTTTTTTTCCCCAATTGGATTGGGTTAATTTGTAATAAAATAATATCATGCTGATAGAATGCAAAGAAAAAGTGTTATAGTATCGAAAAACTCCACAGATATGATTGGTTGTTTGCGATCGTTAGAATGATAATTAAAACTGTAAATTGTCTTTTATTCCGGTAAAAGCAGCCATTATGACTTGTAAGGTAGAAATTGCGATACAAATGAATTACGGTACCAGAGCTACAATTTTAGCAAGCCTTAATACAACTTCGTTCTCTGAATCAACTTCAAATTCCCCATTCGCAAAGACTCATCACAAAATAAATATTTATGAAATGTAATTGCCTTAATTATTGTAATTATACTTTTTCCATCATACATCATTACATCATATATCCTCATTATATTGAAAATTACCCGTTGTATTTGAAATGTTTATAAATTTTTGTATTCTCAATTAATATTTCAAAGCATTATCGGCATTGTACGTATATCAAATTCAATTATTTATAGAATATGAAATTTTAATACCGATTGATTTTTATGATAAAATTATATTGCTTTTAATTTTCACTTGAATTTGCATAATTTGCTTAATTTAAAAAGTCCTAATGCAATAAAAATTTCGAACCGCGCACAAATACGCTTCAATACGAGTTTCGCTATTTATTCTTACGTAATTAATTAGAGCTTCTTATTTATCTATCTATTTGTGTAAAAAACAAATTTATGAAAGTATAATAAGTTTTCAAAATAGACACGACGATGGAGCAAATAAAATGTTAATAGGTAATATTAAAAAAATTGTTATGCAGCAAAGATAATGCAAATGCGCATCATGTATATTTCATTTTTTATGTAGCACCTTGCATCTGCACTATCCAAGATGAGAATTTCATAATTATCTCTATAAGAAATTTACAATATACACAAAGCCTACAAATTCTAATATCCAATGTTTATGCATGACACTTGCTTGTCGAGATAAAAAAACGTTTCACACTATTCAAGCATATGTATATATTCGTAAAAAGTTCATCTTGCTGTTCAAAATACCTTTAAAAACTCCATATATTATTCATTATACTAAGGCAGGTAAAACCTTAATTCTATTAACGAGTGAGAGGTTTTTCGATTCTTGGAAAAATCTTGAAATTCTTGAAAAGAATCATGATAATACAAAGCGCGAATGAGTTAGTGTGTTCGTAATTAATGTATAAGAAAAAAATCTTAACACTAATTTTTTTTTAATAAAAATTAATCGTAGCTCATAGTGTAGATGACATATAACCTTGGCAAAAGCAAATAACAAAACAAAAAATGAAATATAATATATATCTTACTTAATATTTGCTTAATAATAATATATGATGAGCATTTATATCGAGCTGTAATTATTGCCAATAAAAGCGAAAATCATTCATGATTCGTAATTAAAGTGTGTATATAAGTGTCAATTGTGCTAGTATGGAGCGACAGAAACGTAACGGAAAATAAAATACACCGCGTGGCAATTATATAATTTTATTGAATGTAACCAGTAACTTTAATTCTCTTGCTTCGGCTCTCCTGCTCCCGTGAAAATAAGGCGAAACTTTTATTTCGTCGCGTTGCATTTGCCCGCACTTTAAAAGGGGAGAACGTACCTTTACTTCAATCTGTACTTTATAATTTTACCGAAAACGGACATCAACTTTTTGCTGCACTTGTTGCCACGCCTTGGCGTAATTTCGATCCGCGAATAAAGGCATTTTCTTACTAACAAGAGACAGTGGGGCTTAAAGTGGTGCATTATCTCCATGGGAATAGGACCGAAAATGTTTAATGCTCGATTAGCTACGTTTTCTCTTTCGTTTTCGGGACGAGTTGTGCGATCTTTCGGCTAATAGTGGGGCAATCGAGGAGAAATAAAAATGATCGCGAAGGAGAGTAATTGCGAGAGTATTCGCGAAAAGAGGCCGAGGCTTCCTCCCTCTCCACCAACCCAACCACCCTCCCGTCTCAACACCCACCACCGCCATCACCACTGTCTCACGCCGCTTCATTCGGATTTCAAGCGATTGGCGATCAGGCAGGGAAAGGAAGTTGGGCGCGAAGTTGGGGACGATCATCTCGCGCACGCGATCCACTCCACTTTCCCGTAAAGCCCGTAGCCGTAGCTGGGAAAGCTCGTTACCGTTATTGCACGCCACTTGGCTTATCTCTTCCCATCGACGGCACTCGACGTGTTGTTCATCTTTTTCATCGAGGCTCGTGCGTTCGCGTGGAGTACTTGTAATTTCCCAGAGATCGTAATGATCCGTTGGTGTGCGCGCGTGTACCGCCGCGCCATCGCCACCGCCGTCGCCGTACGTCAGTACTATCTACACTTAACCACTTTCCTTTACCATGAGAAACATTATGGCAATACGCGTGCGTGCGTGCGTGCGTGCGTTTCGTGCGTGCGTGCGTGCGTACGTGAGTTAGTACGTGCGCGTCTCCGGGCGTCGTCCTCTTCTTTCCTGCCTTTCTTTTTTGTTTTCACCTTATGAAAAATCGCTGCCGACCTGGCGCAATTAAACTGGATTGACGTTAAATTGCGCCCCGGGGAATACCGAGCTGTAAAATAAAATAGAAGTTACTTAATAATGATGCTTTAATCGCCCGCTGTTCTGGCACGCTCGGCCTTTTAATTTTGAGCATTAATTTTATTATTTATGGATTAAAGCTTGTCCGATGACATTTACTTGCGCTCATAATTGTGTATAAATAATCCATATGCGAACGTTATGCCTATGCTCGGTATTTGTTTATTGCGCAATCATTTTTATCTAACTAGAAATTATGATAACTTAATTTATATGTTTAATAATTAAGGTGTCGCAGTAATTAATGAGATAATGTAGTAAAGTATTTGCTTTTCAAATGTGAGATTTGAAAGATTCGTTTGAAAAATTGCGCAATATTAATCCTACGTTTAGGTGACTGTTACATTTGATGATATATGACGAAAGGGAAAATTAAACAAGTCTTAATATAATTTTCGTAATCATTATTATTAAAATGCTTTTGGATAATTAGAATGAAGAATCTGAAGAAATTTCTAAATTTTTAATGAATAATTAATTATATAGGAGGATTGATTTCGAGCCAAAAACTTTCCTCGCAATCACCATACTTTTGTACATTCTCACTTGAAGTCACAAGAAATAGCAATGAAAGCTAGTCCAATTACAAATTTCTATAATTTATTAAAAAAATTAAATTTGAATTTTTTTATATTATACGCGTAGGAGAATCATCGCGCTGCAGTGATCGGCGATTTATCGATAGGGTTTGGCTCAGTCAGAACCTTCATAAGCGGATGACAAAGCTCGGGAAGTGGCCGAGGGGGAGATAATATCAGTTTCAACTTAGCTCCGTTAGATGGACGACATCGCGGCATTTCAAAATGCTCTCTATTGGGCCCAGTTGGCTGCCAATAGAGAAACGCCTTAAAGAACTGTAGAGCGTGTAATTTATGTATTTATTCGACTCCCTCTTTCGATCGGCAAATTAACAAAGCACTATTTTAATAATAATTTTATGCTCCCGCACGGGCCGCTTTTATTATACTAGTTAAGAAATTATATAAATCGAATAATAATAAAAAAAATTATAACCTGAATGTTAGTGACCTTTTATCAAGAAGTGTATAGTGATATTAGCGGCTTCTCATTATTCTAGCGAAGAAGTATTATTGCAAAATGAACGCGTTAATTAATATAAAGTTTTATTAAATAATATAAAGTAAAGTACTTGGTTGCGAGCGAGGTGCGAGATATTTTCTCCGCAAGAGTTCTTTCTTTGAAATGCAAATGAATATTAGGTTTATTGCAGTGTCTTACAGCAATGTTTTGCCTTACATGAATTATGATACAAAATTAAACTTTGACCGGACGATCTCTACGCATCGGGCTTTTCTCTTCTTACTCAGTATACAGAGGTAAGGAGAGACTTTCTTACCGACTCCATTTGCACTTTCGCATTAGTTCTGTGTGGCTATTAGATTATTCATTCCTTGAATAATCCAATAACTTCTAGACAACAACTTTTCATTTTGCAATTCTGCAAGCTAATTGTAGGCGCACAAAAATACGAGTATCATTAATTACCGAGTATTATTAATTATAAATAATGCGCGTACTAAATACAGAAGCGATTGAATTCGCGGATAAAATAGACGCGTCCGGCCTAGAAATAACGAGCTAATACGAAAGCGACGCAATTGAGAGACGACCGAAGCCGATAACACGAGAAGAAGGCGGGAAAAGACATAAATGTAACGCAAGTAAAACGCCTTCGAAATGGTCTGGTATTTGACACCCCGATCTGATAGCGTAACAAGTCTCGATGTACTTACACAGATGCGCATAAGTTCTTCTCGGATAAGAGACGCCGTGGGTCGTATGGGTGCTTCCCGTGCCTCATATTCGGGGGGGGGGGTGAAGTCATGGAGTTTCCCTTTTCCCAAGAACACCTGCAACTGAGCTTGGAGTCGACGTTCGATCACGTAGGTCAGCCAAATTCACGATGCCGAGCGCACGTGATCTTTTACATTTACAAACATTTCATTTTTTATACGAGAGATACCTTTCCTACTGATCGCTTATCGTGGAAGAAATGCATTTGGCACATTAAACTACACGAAGTTACTTTAATGTATCAACTCTAACTTGCCTCAAATTAAATACGATAATCGATATATATATATATATATATATGATTGCAATTTTTAAAATAATTAGTTACATAGATAGATCCATTAATATAATGTATTAATTATTGGTAATTGTTATAAGCACGCCAGGGCACTATAATATAATTGTTAATTATGATATATATTTATATTTTCTTCTCGGCTTTTTAAAATATCTACGTATATATATATATATATATATATATATATATATGAAGTTTTACTTTCAAGTTTTAACTTTAAACGATTGCTAATTGAAATTAAAAAATTTGTCTTTGTACTGTGAGTCGGAGGAGAATGTTCGATCATGCAAAAATACGCGCGTAATTTCAACGGTTTAATAACTATATAAAAATAGTTATTCTCCATTATAAAGGATATAAAAATCTACTAAAAGTAATTGACGTATTAATTATCGTCAATCATTACTAAAGATATTATTACCGAGATAGCCCTATAGTCTTTCGTGTAATCGTATAGATAAAAAAATTCAAATTTTTATATTTTTTCGTAATCAATATAATTTGCACTCTCGGCTCATGTATAAAACAATTTTCTAATATTAATTATTCGTAATCCCTAGGATTTTAATTACATTTAAATAAAATGTCAGTACACTATATTATATCATTATTAATGCTATAGAAAGTTAGTAAAGTAAGTGGTCTTATTACAAGATAAGAGTTTCATCCTTTACTATAATTACTTGCGATTGTATAAGAATTCATAGTATAATATTAAAAAATTCCTTATCGGTTTCATTGTAAGAAAAACTTCATTATACCTGACTTTCTATAATGGCTGTCTCTGTATTAATAAGCTTGGAAATTAAAAGTAATAATTATTTATTTTAATCACCGCAATTCCATTGCAATCCATTGGAAATGTTCATCATTTATGACCTATATAAGATATCAATCTATAAATTAGCAAAGAGAACTCGAGAATAAAATAAAATCTTGATAGTGCATTTTGCATTACATAATTAATGTCTTCATTTAAAAATTGCCATTTTTATGATTTAAAATTTCGACGGCATACATTTCGCAATTCGTCCATCATATTTTTTGTTTTTTTTTTTTTTTTTTTTTTTTTTTTTTTCAATTAATATCAATATAGACATTCGATTTAATTACTTGAATGTACGTAACGCGCATGCTTAATGCAAAACTCGCAGACTAAGCTGAATTTTAAAGCGAAAATACCAAGCGTAAGTGCGCCTACCAGGAGGCACTTAAAGAAATGATCCGGCCATATTCGGCCCTACATGCATGCGCATACACAAATGTATAATTAAGCCTATAATTTTTTTTCCCTACCTTTCTTATTTTCTTTTTCTTTTTCCACATTCAATGCAAGTAAGTACGTGTGCTCGGTCTAAATTATACGAGCAGTGTAACTCGACAATATCTGACCCTTGCACGAGTTGCGTTCGATCTATCGCGCGTTAAGCTCATTTTCCTTCGTATTATCTTAAACGCTTAAGCGTGCCTTTAACAATGTTCGCTCAAACGTAAAGATTCGTGTGAGGTGGCATATTATTATTCAATCTAAGAAAACAATTTAACCTCCCCTCCGCGTCATTACTATTTAAACGAGCATTAAGCCGCGCTAGCCGGCTAATAAATTAATAAAGAGGCCATTGGTAATAGAGAGGCGCACTCGCGAGGCAAATAAACGCGATTAAGATTCGCGATTAAGATTAAAAAAGACACTCTCTCCAGTCGTATTATAACTCTTGCGAGAATGATGTAAGCCGAGTATGCGGGCAGCAAGGTGCATCGACTCGATTGTCAAAAGCGCGAGGCGTTTCGCAATAGGGGTGCGATATCCTTCCTCGCCATTGCAGATTCAAAGCGTATAAATTGTCGCGTTCAAACGAGACGGGGGCCACCTTCTTCTCCTTTCCACTCACACAGTGCTCATAAAGCGCGCTACCTTATCGACTCACTGCCTTTGCCTCGATGAAACCCGTCTATTTGACTTCTGCCATTTATTTATTGACACGCTATTCCGCGCTCTTGCCAATCGTCGTATCCTTCTCCATTCATCGCACCTCCAGTGCAGCGCATTTGGAGTGCAAACGCAGTGGGTAGAGAGGCTTAATAAATGCCAGCGAAAATTATAGTCGTTTATAAGGTGAATGGTATTCGTTGTGTATCGCCAGTTTATAGTAATAACGTTAAGTCTTGACGGTCAAGCTATGATAATAGGAATCCCGATGGAAATGACATTTTTACTTATCGTATTGTATTTCGGTTCTTCGTTTCGAGTAGCATTCGCAACAATGACTGGCCATCTCGTTTCTTTCCTTGTCCTTTCAAGCTCGACTATCTATTATCGGCATAAGTCGCACAAGCAAGAATTGATTACTAAAAAAGAAGCCGATCTTGATTGTTTATCCGCGTGAGCTTTGCAATACGAGAAAAGGAAAAGGTGTGGAAGTGTCACCCTCCCCTCTATGTTAGGTGGCGTGCAGTTTGCCGTTCGAGTTTCATCACTTATCCATAAGCTTATACGTAGATTAAATACGCGACATCCTGACACAAAGTAAAGAGGAGTAAAGAACCAAATGTTTGATTTCTGTTGCAGTTTGAAACATGGTGGTCGTCGCTTACCTGTGTCGCAGCCGGCAGTACGCCCCGCTTCGTCGTTGATGGCCAGGCGCCGTTGCGGCAATGTCTTCATCCGGAGGCCTGCAACAAGCTGGTCGACCTGCCCAGTCACTACAGCGTCTTCCATGACCTTAGGAAGGAATTTTCGTCCTGCTACTCCACCAACGACGAGCTCTCCATTCTTAGCATTCTCGAGATGATGCAATGTATCCTTTCATGATATTTTTGTTTGGTTAAGAGAGAGGCCATGGGAAAGGTAGCCAATGTGTTTGGCTTTCCCTTAGGGGGCTGAAGAGATGGGAAGGTGG